TGACATAGGGTTTTTTGATATCTCTAACCCTAAGGTTTTCTAGGACATGAAGTTCTATTTCTACAAATTCCCCTTGGGCAATATTTTCTTGGTTAGTTCTTTAAATCCTATTTTTTTGTCCAAACCCATGTGAACAAGGTCTTTGGTCACTTTCATGATATTTTCAGCCTAAAAGCCTTCATTTAGGGCTAAGATGATGGCCTATGTTTTATCTGTGTAGCTCACCATCACATCTCCCTAGACAATCCAAAGTCTTGTGTTACTGCCATTGATTCTGCCTCTCAACCAAAGGAAATCTGCATTGCTTCACTTAATTTTTTAATTTCAGGATGCTTCAGTTTCTTCATTGGTAGTGGGGATAGTAAAAATCCCTAAAATAAAGTAGTAGAAGTAAGGGTCTTATGTTCATGTCTAGCATATAATAAGCACTTAACAACTGTTAGCTCTCATTATTATTATTCTCACAGTGTTCCTTGAGATATAAGGAATAAAACTCTGTCTTAAATTCTTTTTTATTAATGTGGATGTAAATGAATTTTTCTTAATGTGAGGGCAAATAAAATGAAATCTAGGATGAACCCAGGTTAACCATCAAAGGCTTAGTAGGTGCAAGGCTATGGGTTAATATTTTTTCTTTATGCAGTAAACTTTTGAAAATTTAAAGTAAAATGGAATTTTTGAAAAGCACTATTACATACCATGCAACTCTTCAGCAGTATCTGTTTTATATTTTTCTCAGAAAGAGGGGTAGACATAGAATCGAAATTCCGAGTAACAGAGCCCCAAAGAAAAGAGGCAAACCAAGAAGAAATAAATACATAAATAAATTTTACTAACTAAACATCTAAATTCTCATGCTTTATTCTATGCTTTTGTTAACAGACCTGTTTCTCTAATTACTTTCTGTAGCTACTAACTGTTGAGAAATATATCAGATTTAGTCAACTTCTAAAACATGACAGGGAGAGAAATATGATATCTCAAACAAGCAACATGGTGATGAATCCACAGCCAAAACCCAGGACCCAAGGGCCACTGAAGTGCTGCCTCTGATGAACTGGTAACTTTTGAGGCTGGAAATAGTTGTAGCCATAAAACACTGTAACTCACAAGTGATAAAGATGTCCTGCCTCATGTCCCACCACCCTGAGGTAGTCCTGTAAACATGAGTCTGTCACTTTGCCTCTTCTGCCTCAGTTTACTCCTCTGTAAAGTGAAATGATAATAAAGAGACTGACTGCCCACCAAGGCCCATCCCAGCTTCATATACAGCTTCATATTCTGTAGATCTACCACTGGACTCGGTAAGGACCACAGACAGATCTCTCATCGGCAACAAGAACAGGGAGCCCAAGGAGTGTCTTTAATGGATTCCCCAAATCTTTAATGGATTCCTAACATCGCTGGCTGGAAGGGCAGGAACAGCAGCTAATCATTCTCAAGTTCATCTTAAGACTCCTTTCTGTGGAGTCAGACTCTGAGTTCCCCGCCCCCACACACACACACCCTCTCATGTAGAGGTAGACCCTCCTTCAGCCCTGAGCAATTTTCAGAAGACAGTAGAACTCCCCTGAGCTTCCCTTCCAGGCAGGAGAAAGCTGCTGTGAAGGAGAAGTGAGGCAAACAAATAAGACAGACCCCATCTCCTGCTAGGCTGCCCCATTGTGGTCCTGCTCAAGGCTCAGCTAGTCCCTGAATCATACCTACAAATTTGTCAAATTATAGACAAATTACAATCTAAAACTCTTTGTCTGGAAAAACAAATTTGGCTAGAAATTTCCCACTAGAACAGCAGAAGCAATATATTTTACCACCTCTCAGTAGTGAGTGGTGGCCAACTTGCTTGGGAATGAAGACATTGGATGGTCCTTCTGGAAGGTTAGCACCCTTGCAGCAGCTACCTCGTTGCCCTATGTGGTTCTTTTGGGAAGAGTATCTCTCAAAAATACCCAGTTCAACTTCCATCCACAGGGACCCCCCCACCAGGCCAAGGGAATCATGCTTCTTCATTGATTCCCTTGCTGACTCCTGGCTCAGCCCTTCTCCCACCACAGAACACACTAGCCATGATGTTCACCTTTATATTGGTAAGGATGAGCTGATAATCTCTCCTTCCCTGATGTCCCAAGGACTGAGGTCCATCTCCTGTGTGGATCCTTTAACATATTTTGTCTTGGCTTGAGGGGAGGTGTCTGACAATTCTCTTGAAAGAAATGTAGCCTCTTTCACAAGACCTGGAGGTGGGGAAGGCCTGTTCCGGCAGAACCAGCCTCACTATCCCTTACCATGGTCTGTGCAACAGGGCTACACTAACACTTGCTTTAGGATCTAGGCATACTGGGCTCCTATTCTATTGTTCTTACACACTGCGGACTCTCTGATACTCTGAGGCAACCAAAAGATCACCTAAACATCCTAATATACTATTTTGCCCATAAAGATTAGTTCCAACTATTAAGAAAATTATTTTTAAATGACTTTTAATTTTTCTGACCACATTATTATTTGTAAGAGTTAATGTAGGGTTTTAGTATAGCATTAGTAGTTGTTTATTAAGATGGTAGACCCAAGAATAATTAAATCCTACTTTGTCCAGGCATTTTTACTTTCTGGATCTAAGATAATAAAGTGCTGGAGCTCGCTAACACACAAATAACCCCTGTAAAGTTTAGCAGCACTTTGTTCATATGATCTGGTCTCCAGACCAGATTTCTGAGAACTGAGCTGGAGTACAACGAGTTTCTGTTTGTTTGCCATGAAGTTGTTTGTCCTCAAAAGGCTTTGATGAAATAGAAGTCTAACTCACCAACTAGTCCCAGAAATATTTAAACAGAGAGAAACTGAGAGCAAGAGAATGCACGTTTGCCAATAAGGGCTACTGTTGGACAGACTCAAGTTATAATTAGAGCTGGGATTTCAATTTCATCACTGCATGGGAAAGGAGAGCAAGGAGAAAGCCAAGAGAACACAAGTGTCTTCTTGTGGGACAGTGGGCCTTGATTCTTGCAGGAAAAGAGAGAGAGAGAATCAGAACTGGCCTTTTCCCACTTCAACATCATTAGTGACAGGAGAGGACGGTTTCACCAAGACCCACACCTGTGTGGATAACCTGTTATACCTGGCAACTACTAACTACCATATTTGGTACTGTAATGTTCTTTGAAACCAATCCATCTAGAGCAATTTTTAAAGAAAGCTTCATCTACTTTCAGGTCTACATTTTTCCCCATTCACTTGTTCCTCTTAAGTCTTCAAGATCATAGCCATGCTTATGATTCTCTTATACAGGTTTAATAATCTCTCCTCAGTGTACCTCCCTAATACTTTGATAAACTTCCTAAGGATAACATTTTGTAACATAGAACATGTTGATCTTGGGGTGTGATTTCTCTTGGGATGAAAATCATTAATAAATGTCTCATGGGGCCATTTTTATTTTGGTGGGATTTTTTTTTTAAACTTGAGTACTTGTTATGGCACAGTCCCAGAATATGAGATAACATCATCAACCTGAAGGATTTTTGTGTTTGGTTGAAGGAAATATTCCTTTCCAGCCTCATCTGGTCATAATCTGCTCAAAGGAAAGATTAGTCATGATTGACTTTCTGAAGGGGATTTTCTCCTGGGACCTGCATTACACAAATTAACACCCCAGGATTCCAGCCATAGGAACAGAATGATGGGCGCAGACCTTTAGCAAGAAAGCATCCCTGACTTCCAACATTCAGACACATTTGAATGATGGCAGACCTGAACATGAACATAGACATGATTAATCTTTTTGGACAAAATCAACAATTAAATCAGATACTACATTTTTCTGAAACATCTAAGTCAACCTTTTGTGCCATCTCTAACCCTACAACTTCTGGAACTTGGGCATCAATTTTATAAGCTCCCCTTCATTGAGCCATTGGACTAGTTTTTAAGTCCTTGCTCATTTTTGCGACCATTTTTGATACAAAAATCTTTCAAGTTTAGGTTTGCAGCAGCTATCTGACCTATAGAGTTGAGCATGAAGTCCCCCTTGAGACCTAATATGACTGCCTTTTATCTCTGCGTCTTTATCAAAGTAAATCTTCAATGCTTTTAGTTAATTTGCATTTATATCTGTGCATATCAATTTCCTCATCTGTAAGATAAGGATAGTATTAGTCCCTATTTGACTAAGTCCCTAATTTGACTAAATTTGCTCTAAGGATAAATAAATTAATAGAGGCAATGTCTAAGGATAGTTCCTGGCACACAACAAGGACTCAAAAGATGTACGACTTCATTACTCTTCTCACCTTGCTGCTCTGTTGCTTGGGAAACACATAAAACACGGTTTCAGTTTTATTTGGAACGACTTGGAGTAAAAGAAATATAGGATATATCTCAGTTAAACATCATCTTTGTAACTAACTAAGTCTAGACCAGGGTTCCACAAACTATGGCTCACAGGGTAAATTCAACCCATGAATTGCTTTTTTGTGTGTGTGTGTAGTATGCGGGCCTCTCACTGTTGCGGCCTCTCCCGTTGTGGAGCCCAGGCTCCGGACGCGCAGGCTCAGCGGCCATGGCTCACGGGCCCAGCCGCTCCGCGTCATGTGGGATCTTCCCGGACCGGGGCATGAACCCGTGCCCCCTGCATCGGCAGGCGGACTCTCAACCACTGCACCACCAGGGTAGCCCCATGAATTGTTTTGTACATAAATTTTTATCAGAACGCAGCCACAGTCACATCTTTCCATTTGTGAATTGTCTATGGATGCTTTTACAATACAACAGTAGAGTTGAGTAGTCACAAAGGAGATTGTGGTCCACAATACCTTAAATATTTACTATCTGGCCCTTTACAGAAAAAGTTCCTAACTCCTGATATAAGCATTTGATATTTTTCTTGAAGTACTGGGTAAACTCCTAAAAAGTGACATTTGAATGGTATTTTTACAAAACACTACTATTTGCAACGCAATGTTATAAAAAGAGACATTTATGTTATTTTTCTACTTCCTCAGGGAGAAAAACAGTCAACACTGAGCCTTTGAAAAGAGGCAGAAAAAGAGGTAAAAATAAGTGATTAATGCAGTTTTAATAATTAAATTTTTATTTTATAATCCATATTTTTAGTGATCAATAAATTTTCTTAATTGGCTTACAGAGCCGATAGCAAACGTTAGGAGAGTCCTTGGTCTTGGTCAATTTCGACCACATGACAGGATGGTGATAACATGCACTCCACTGATTAGTCAGAAGATCTGTGAGAGACCCCCAGGTCTCCTTGAGCCTGTGCAGGGCTCCTCTCACTGCACTGATAACTTTTGAGGAGGGAAATACAAAGAAAAATATATAAAAGGTATGACTCACGTGATATTTCTCTCACCTTTGTCTTGCCCACATAGAGAGCCATAGGCTCCCCACCAAGGGGGACTCTGGGTGGTAACACAAGACCTATGTCCTAATTCCTAAAATTCCTTTGGCTGTGTAACTTTGGCTTGTCCACTGTTCTTTCTTGCTTCAATTTCCTCCCCTGTAAATTGGTGGCTGGCAGGTGAATTAGACTGAATGGCCCCCTACACCCACCCCAACTCTAATAGAACTGACTCTGGAAGGACTCTTGACAGCCTACCCTCCCCATCCAGAGAGAAGCCCCCAGACCTGTCTTTAAAGGATCCCCCTCAATGTTGGCCAGAAGGGCAAGAGAAGGTGCTCCTGCTACTGACATTCTTTCTAAGACTTTCAACACCTGCTTCAGAGGAATTAGATGCCAGCACCCTCACCCAAGGATGTACAGAAACCCTCTCCCTGAGCAATTTGCAGTTTCTTCTAGAGCAAATTACCTTCTAGCCACAAAGAAAGCTCACATGAGAGAGAAGTGAAACAGAGAGCAAGGTGGGAAGACAGACACTGCCCCTGCTGGGGGTCCCATTGCAATCCTCCTTTTTTCCCCAGGTGAGCCCTCAAATGGGGAGAAAAAATTAAAAGTTGAGGGTTTTTTCTCCATCTGCATAACTTCAAAGCAATAATATGACTATAAATCTTCCTTCAAATCAGCAGGAGGAAAATTATCATGCAATAGGTAGTTGGGACCAGCAAGCTTGGGAATCAGATCCTTCCACAAGAGGTTTGTATGTAGGATTTTAGAGGATGGTAGTGGAGGGTGACATTATCTTTATGTACCTAACCTGCCTAGAAATGTACCTAATTCATGGGGGAAATCCTTCCATTACATTTTAAGTTATAAAGAAGGATCTCAAGATGGGTGAGGAGAGACGGTACACAGTTTTAGAGCAAGGTGGAATGAAGAAACCAATGCTTCCTTGCAGGTCCAAGAATTCCCAGAGAAACAAATATGGATTTTCAGCTTCCTGAACTTCCTGTGACTTGTGGTGAGGCGAAGGGGATTTTATACAAGGAGAAAATGGAAAAAGGTGGGCTTCGTGGTCTTCTAAATTTTTCAACTGGAAAAATCCCATGTGAATAATATATTATACAGGGGGTAGACACCTGTATTGGGGGTCTCTAGGTTTGGTGCCTCACTAGGAGGACTGAAAGGACTCAGCATATAGTTGAACTCATGGCTGTGATTTATTAACTTGAAAGGATACAAAGCAAAATCAGCAAAGGGAAAAGGCCCAGGGTACAGGTGTCAGTTTCCAAGAGTCTTCTCCCAGTCGAGTCACCAGGACACACTTAATTCACCAGCAATGAATTGTAACAACACATGTGAAATGTTGTCTACCAGGGAAGCTGCCCTGAGCCTGAGAGTCCAGGGTTTTTATCAGGGGTTAGTTACATAAGTACCCTCTGCCTAGCACATGCCAAAATTCCAAACTCCCAGACGGAAGGCAGGTGTTCACATAAACCATACTGTTTGTATAAACAGTTAAGGCACAGTGAGCTACTCTTTAAGTTCTGGGAGTGGTGATACCCCTCCCCAAATCCAAGTTCCCAGATACCAGCCAAGCGCCAGCCTTGCAAGCAGACTTTCTAAAGAAAGCAGCCTCAGTTCTGTTCTGTTAGCCCTTTTCCACACAGCATCCCAGATAGGCTGGAGGAAAGATGGCATTCCCACTCTTTTAAAATTAATAAACATTAGCCTACCAGGCCATCTCCACTTTCCCCCAAGGAAAAGGTCCACAGGTGCCCATCCAGCACCCAATACAGGGGTAAGTGCTTCAATAACAGAATGGAAGATGTACACATTTGAGAAATCCAACAGCAACCTTCACAGCCACATTCCCTATAACATCTGTATGGCCTTGTGCTAACCGGGAGAAGCACAAGATTTAGACTCAGAAGACCAGGATTCGAGTTTCAGCTGTACCAAGAGTGTCTATTTTGTATGGGCCAAGTTACTAAGTCTCTCTCATCCTGAACTGTCCTCTACAAAATGGAAATAATAATAAAACTTTCCTCACCATATTATTATGAGAAAAAAAACAAGATAACAGAAAAGTTTGCAAATTACAACTGTTAAAGTACAGTACAAATGTTCATCTACCATAATTGATTCCCTCCTCCCAAAATATGGTTCTTTAGGTACCAAGAAGTATAAATGTTTTCCCAATGATTAAATAGCATATATATAATTTAACTTTTCCCACTTGATACCATTTCTACAATTGCTTTTAACATAAAATAGCTATGAGTCCAAAATATGAGCAATAATTGATTGCCGTTCACTGGCTGATCAACTTTTGTACAGGACAAGGCAGACATGGCTGTGGTGACAGTTGCCACACTGTCCCATGTGTGACCTCATCTGCTGCCTCAGAAACTCAGCCTGGCTCTATCCCAGGTCTCAGAGAAGGGAAGGGAAAGAATCTTGCCTATTCTTTAGAGTCATCCATTTTTTTCTCTTTTGAATATAGTGAAATATTTTTTTAAAGTAAATGTTGGTAGTAATTACTGTCCTTCTCACTGCATGAGGGTCAGAGTATGCACACAGAGCAGGAAGTCTGCTCCTGCCCTCACCTTTCGGACTGCTGTAGAGCCCCAGAGAGGGGACTCAGCTATCCTGCTGCAGATTATGAACCCAAAATGAGTAGCCCAGATTCATGTGGCGGGAGGTCAAGTTCTCGGGTATTCACAGTTAGGGGCATACCCTGGCCACAAAGGGAGCTCACCTTGTCTTGGTCTCACAGGCGCCTCGGAGAAGTGTATACAGAATGCATATGGAAAGTGGTTCACCCTCAGGGAATTTGAAATTGAAGGAAACCATGAAGCATCCAAGAACTGGAAGCTGAGTGTGCGCTGTGGGGGATGGCCCCTGAAAACCTTGATTCAGGTATTCTAGTGACAAAGTGCTACAATCAAGGATTTAGTGCCACAAGTCATCAACTTCAAGCTTTAGCAGAATTTCCAGAAAACCATCATGACGCCCCTTGCCTGGGTCGCAATGCGTATATTATCACTAACATTCCATGTGGGTGTTATATTTGCTGGCTTACATTACAACTTAATCCTCTAAGTGCATAAACTCCTACACTTAAAAAATTTTTTAAATTTTTATACAATTTTTAAAGGCTACTTTCCACTTACAGTTATTACAAAATATTGGCTGTATGTTGCACAATACATTCTTGAGCCTATCCTACACCCAATAGTTTATACTTCCACTCCCCCACCTCTATGTTGCCTCTCCCCCCCCCACTGGTAACCACCAGTTTGTTCTCTATGAGTCAGCTTCTTTTATGTTATATTCACTAGTTTGTTATATTTTTTAGATTCCACATATAAGTGATATCATACAATATTTGTCTTTCTCCATCTGACATATTTCACTTAATGTAATGCCCTCCAAGTCCATCCCTGTTGCTGCAAATGACAACATTTTGTTCTTTTTTATGGCTGAATAGTATTCAAACTCTTACATTGTTGAAGGTAGGACAGTAAATTGTGGCCTTGGCACTGCCACTAATAATTGCCACTGGGTAATTTGGTCACAGGAAAGTAAACTAAATTTGGCGTGGGAGGGTCTTAGACTTTTGGAGGGGGCCAACGTTGAAAGTAACAATAGCAGAACTATGTATCTGAAAATAATACATCAGAATGAGTGTTTTCTGGATAGCCAACTGAAATTCATTCTTGAAAAATAATATTTTTAAATGAATTTAAAAGTATCTCTTTGGGGCTTCCCTGGTGGCGCAGTGGTTGAGAGTCTGCCTGCCGATGCAGGGGGCGCGGGTTCGTGCCCTGGTCCGGGAAGATCCCACATGCCGCGGAGCGGTCTGGGCCCGTGAGCCATGGCCGCTGAGCCTGCGCGTCCGGAGCCTGTGCTCCGCAACGGGAGAGGCCACAACAGTGAGCAGAAATACGGGGCGGCTGTGCCCGTGAGCCATGGCCGCTGAGCCTGCGCGTCCGGAGCCTGTGCCCCGAAACGGGAGAGGCCACAACAGTGAGGGGCCCGCGTACCGCAAAAAAAAAAAAAAAATCTCTTTGGTCCTCATCTCGGCCCCCTGATGTGGACAAAACGGGCCAGGTCTCTGTCACAGATGAACCCATGCCTTCTGACTCTTTCTGTCACATGCCCCAGATGGTCCTTCCTTGTGCCACTCTAATGATGAGCAAATATTTATTGAATACATCTAAAGCCACAGGGACTGTAAGGTGTGGCCCCCAGCCCCTAACCAGGAGGAGGGCTGCACGTTTATAAACATAGGATTGCACAGCTCATAGATGCCATAATGAGATTCTCTGGTAGGAAGAGATGCAGAAGCTTAGGGGAGGGAAGTTCATTTCTGTCTTTGAGGTTGAGGACAGTTTCATGGAACAGTTTGCACTGAGCTGGGTCTTAAAAGAAGAATAGTTCTGACAAGAAAAAATGTCATAATGAGGAATTCTATATAGAAAGGATGGCATGAAAATCCTCCCCATGAGTGTCAAGAAGTTGTGGGTTATTAGACTCAATACATGAGCTGGGCTGATTGTGGAGGTCCTGCGGCCCCAGAAAGGAGGCTGAACCCTTCATTTAATCATGCAGGAATTGTGGGAGGTTTGGGTTAGGGACTGACAAAGTTGAAAGAGTGGTTTTAGAGGTATGAATCTGATCAAGGAATGCAAGATAGATTAGAGGGTAGAGTGCTTTACCCCATGGAGACCTCAAATGACCTTCACCACCTTTCTGCCTGATCCACCCCACTCGACCTGCAAGGCCCAGCTCAAACAGCACACTCTCTGCTGAAGTCCTTTAAAATTCACTGAAATTGTTTCCTATTGCTGATATAACAAATTCCCACAAACTTAGTGCCTTGAAACCATGTAAATCTATTATCTTACAGTTCTAGAGACCAGAAGTATGAAATCAGTTTCACTGGCCTCAAGTCAAGGTGTCGGCAGGGGTGGTTCCTTCTGGAGTCTTCCAGGGAGAATGTGTTCCTCCCCTTTTTCAGCTTCTGGAAGCAGCCTTCATTTCCTGGCTCGTGGCCCCTTCCTCACATCACTCCAACCTCTTCTTCTGTCAACACGTCTACTACTCACTCTGACCCTCCTACCCCGTCTTGTATGGACCCTTGCGATTACATTGGCCCTACCCAGATAATCAGAATCATCTTCCATTCCAAACTCCTTCATTTAATTACATTAGTAAAGTTCCTTTTACCATGTAAGTTGATACATTCATGGGTCAGGGGATTAGAACAAATTCATGGGTCGGGGGGGAGCATTATTTAGCCTACTATACTCACCCATCTCTGGATCCCAAAATACTCCATGAGAGCACAGTTTACACTTTATCCTCCTTACCCCACTATATGCCAGGTTTCCCCACTTGTCTCCCCAAAGGCCTGGATACCTCTGTGTGTCCAAGGCCACTGATGGGGCCTGCCAGCTTTCAATCACTCACCAGGTGTGTGCCAATGGAGCTATAGTATGCAAGGTATAAAGATAAAAGCTAGAGGGGTACTGGGAGAATGGAAAGGAAGTGGTGGGTATAGAAGCGGTTGTAAAGGAAAATCTGGCGAAACTTTCTAAGGAGAGCAAGAGAGAGGATGCAGTTTTTAAAGCTGACTTTAAAGCTGAGTCTGGATAACAGACAGCACCATGGTACAGACTTGGAGAGGGAGGTTATTTTCCATGAAGACCCCTTGAGTTTATGTTGATAATGGGACATGAGTGGAAGGTAGTGGAATTACTGATCTCACAAAGTAGAAACAAGGACCCATCACAGCATGAATCTCATTTTCCTTTCAGAGAGAATTTCTACTAGACCCGTCAAGAAAAAGAAAAAAGGTAATTATCACATGACCTTCTGGCCGTGTCTCATCTACCACATTGTTGATTTCCCATCTCTCTGGCTTTATTTTATGGTTTCTAAATTAACCAATTATGTTGAAACTTGACTTTATAATATGGTGCTTTTACACTTGCTACTTCCAAACATTTCAGCGTGTGAGGCCAGGACTTCTTTGTGCATTAAAATATTTGAGATAGAGGTGCAGGGGTAATCCTTAAAAATAGATAATGAGGCAGAACTGACCTTGTACCTTTGTTTTAGAAAAATATGTGAATGGCATACAGTAAGTCCCCAACATACGAACCTTCAAGTTGCGAGCTTTCAAAAATGCGAACGTGCGTTCGCATGTCCAATCACGTAAGTTAGTTCCCATGTCTGGTGTACATTGTAACGTGCGTGCATCCTCTACAAGTGGTTGTGCTTTTGTGTACTTTACTGTACAGTACTGTATAGAGTACAGTGGTACAGTGTCTTTATTTCAAGCTCAGGTTGTCCGAAAGCAAGTGTAAAAGCAGCGGTGATGTAGCTGGTACTGCTAAGAAGACCCAGGAGTTGAAGGCCCAGAGGAAGGACAGAGACAAGAGGAAGACGTAACTTCAGAACCGAAGAGATTCACGATGTAGGAAATGGCAAGGAGATTTTCTTTATTTGAGGAGGCACTGTTAGTTTTTGAGGCGCAGGACCCGAATGTAGAATGTTACGTGAGCCTGTGCTCCGCAGCAGGAGAGGCCACAACAGTGAGAGGCCCGCGTACGGCAAAAAAAAAAAAAAAAAGTTTTCTTTACTTTTTGTGTTTGTTTTTTATGTATTATTTGTGTGAAAATTATTATAAACCTATTACAGTACAGTACTGTATAGCCGATTGTGTTAGTTGGGTACCTAGGCTAACTTTGCTGGACTTACAAAGGCACTCTTGGAATGGAACTCTTACTATACGGTCTTTTTTTTTTTTTTTTGGAGTATAGTTGATTTACAATGTTGTGTTAGTTTCAGGCGTACGGCAAAGTTAATCAGTTATACACATGCATATATCCACTCTTTTTTTTTAGATTCTTTTCCCATATAGGCCATTACGGAGGACATACTATCTTAAAATTAGACATAAAAAATGGAGTTGGAGCTGGAAAAGTATGATTTTGAAAGGCACAAAAATGTACATTTAATGATTTGCTTTTGCAGCCCTGATTTTATTTTCATTGGTTTTTCTGGGTTCTAGCTTTAATGAAATAAGAATTGAGCAAAATGGAAACATCTCATGGTCACTCTAGCTAACCTATTATAGACCTAATGTAGAATCCCCCTTTGGAATGGATATATAGCCATATGTCACCTGGTAAAGCAAAAAAACAAAACCTCTCCTTCACATGCACACACACACTTATGCTAAGTCCTTTTTCAAGCGAAATTTTATTTCCTTTATGGAGGTGACCCTTTAGAGAACAGAGTGATTGGGAAGCAGATGTGCCCTGTGGGAGAGGCTGCTGACCTGGAAAGTTCTTTCCTTTGTGTAGAGGCCCTTTGGCCCCAACAGAGGGGCTTTGCAGACTGCAGTTCCATCTATGAAGGCAAATTCTCTCTCCTTCAAAGTAGCATGTGAAGTTCATGGACCAGTGGTTTCTATGCTGTGTGGATTTCAGGGAAGGCAGTCAGATAGTTGATGTCTTCCTCTCCAAGACAGGGTGTGAGAGAGAACATGTGAGGTGAAAAAAGGAAATAGAAAACCTTCCATTTTCCTGACCTCCGACAGCAGTGACCTTGGTCATCTCAGTCAAACCAGGAAGTCGAGGTCTTCACAAAGCTGGTTTCTGGGGCTACCAGCTCAACTGACTTTATGCTAAAGACTCAGTAACTAAGCTCTGCATCCACTGGGTTTTCTGAAGAAAGAGATGCTATTTGCTCTGTTCATTAAGACCAAATGTTTCTGCCCAGTCCTAGGGAGTCAAGGATAATTCAGTCTGGGTTAATCAATTGAGTTGGCCATCTCCCACCCTTTATCACAGGCGCCCTCTCTCCGTTCCCTCTGGGCTTACAGCTATTAACGTGTGACCCCCTCAGTTCTCAGACGGTCTCTCCAGAGCATCTCTTCCTTTCCCAGCCCCTTGGCTTCTGCCATTTGTGTCCTCTCAGCACCAAATGGCATAAGAAACTCTGAGCCAGTAGCCTAAAAATAGTGGTCAGCATCCATTAGGATGAGAAAAAGGAAAAGCGGTTACATGGCCCCATGCCAGGGCCACTCAAGCCTATGTAGGGATGTCCCCAAGGATGTCCCTAACAGGCCATTCCTCAAGCTCTCCTACTGAAAGGGAGCACATGGACAAGATACAGCTTACAGCCTAGAATTTCCTCCCATGTGTGAATTTTATGTCTCTTCTTCTTATATTGAATTTATAGATGAAAAGAATTTACAAATTGAGGTGTGTTCCAATTCACCTCAGCTCACTGGGCTCAGGGATTATATTCTGTTATGATTTGGAAATAGCAGGACATTTTGCTTTGGCTCATAATATTGTATTATAAGTAGGGGCTCTGCATTCTTGTAAGCAATGGACCTCACAGAAGCACTAAGAATGAGATGAGATATTTAAAAATGACATCAGCAGGACTGGTGATGGGCTGGATGTCTGGGATGAGGAAAGGGAGGAATCCGTGTTCACTTCCAGGCTCCTGGGTGGATGGTGGGGTGCTTAGTGAGATGAGGGGGGCACTAAAAGAGGAGCAGATTCAAGACAGGAAGTCAGGGACTGTGGTTTGGGGGCAATATGGGTTTTAGACATGATGATAGACATCTAATTGGAGATGATGGAAAGTAGAGTTTGGATGCTCAGGGACTCAAAAAGAGACCAGAGACACAGATCTTAAAGCCTAGGGACAAATGTGGTAGGTGTGGTCACGGGAGTAGTCGCGGCCATCTAGGAGAGTAAAATGAGCAGGGAACATGGGGCAGAGCCCTACAGAATTCCAACATTCCAAGTGAGGAAGCTTAAAAAAAGAAGCAAAGTGTTAGAAAAAAATCTAAGAGAATGGAGTGTCATGGAACAAAGCATAAAGAATGTTTCTAGAAGGAAGAGGTGGAATGGCACTCCCTGCCACCTCCCCATTTCCTCACCACCCACCAAAATCCCAGCTACCCATCACTGAGTGGGCCAGTCCCCAAGTCTATGCATTATTTTGTACGTAGATTGTCACACAAGGATGTGAATTCCTTCTTCCAGCCCATGGTGTAGAAAGGATAGCTTCATCTAGATGAAGAGCTGCTACCCACTGGATGAAATGTTTTCCCACCACATGGTTCTCTTTCCACTCAGGTGGCCCAGGAGAGGGGCCAGGTGTCCATCCTCTGGCCACTTCTCCAGCACAGACACACGACCCTCATACATAGAAACTGTAGTATATAGGGATTCACATGTTATTGCCACATAGATTATCACCAAAAAGAAAAGGAAAAAATGTAATTCCCCTTGCCTACCAGTGGGCTCATTCCTTGAACAATTCTTATTTTGCTCTATAAATTCGGTTGTTTTAACATGTGTTTGTTACTCCACAATCCTTAGATGCAAGCACTGTCAAATTTTTAACTTCACTAAATGAAATAAAATCTGGCTAAAGGTCCCACATATTGAGATTGATGAAAAATCCAGCACCAGTTAATTTTGTGGCCCCATCCATCTTCCTTATACAGGACAAAGCACCAGGTTTCCACGGGCTCAGAAAATTAGAGTAAAGCCTTGGCCTTCAACTCCAGTGGTTGCCATTACCACACTCCCTAGCCATTGAGAGATGGCACCTCCACACCTTACTTGCCAAGCTAAGTCATAGGACAGCTTCCCCTAGGCTCCCAGAGTCAAAGAGCTCTGTCATCCCTGGCATCCGCCGGGTTATCTGTGCCCATGGTCTTTCCAACCAGAGGCACTGTCACAGGCTCAGGGGCCCTCTAGGCACAAAATCCATAGACCAGAAACTCATCCCCAGGCCCTTCAACTCATGGAGAACTTATGGCCAAGAAAATGGTATGCAGTGATATCTCAGATGTTTATTCTGTCATATTAAATTGTCAGTAAATCACTCTTCAATGAGGCAATTTAGATGATGCATGGTAGACAACTAGATAAGACACTGTATTCCTGAGTTAGGTTTTGCCTGCAGAATAATAAATTTCTCAGATTATCTTTAATTGATCCTATTTTGTTGTTGTTACAAGACTTCCTGTGTCAGAATCTCTGTCTTTATAAAGAAAACTTTAAAGGTCTAACACACAGCCACTTCCTCCTGAGCTTCACTGCAAACCAGCATGTCTTCTTCTGAAATCTCCACTCAGTATTGTTCCTTACTATTTTGAGGAGAAAGGTTTACTAGTATCACCTTGGTACAAGCAAATGCTGTGTGTTCTAGAGTACCAATGTGTCGACTATCTAGGGTCTCACTGATCCCAGCGATGTCTATATTATCTCCCCTTCTAGCCAGAAAACTCAAATGAATGCGAGGTATGCCGTAGAAAGACCGCGCTGTTCTCCTGTAATACTTGTTCAAGGTTCTTTCATCAGAAATGCCACATCCCACCTAAAGGTACTGACAGGTTAGTGAGACCTGGCCCCCTCCTGCCCTTCCTTCCTGTGGTACAGCTCCTCCCACCATGCACACTCAGCCTGCAGTTTTCTCTGGTTGTATGTGTCTTGATTCAGAAGAAGAGTCCTTAAGTATCAGGATCCAGAAATAAGAACAGAGCTGTTTAACAGTGCTGGCAGCAGTAGATTAATGAGAAGAAAACTCTTCAAGCGGTGATTATGTATAATAGAGAAGTAACCCCCACCTCCCTCAGGTGGTTCCCACACCCATGCACTTTGATGGGGTTATGATGCCATACATTAGCTGCTGGTTTAACACATATACCACCTGCTATGGGAACATCACAAAGCTGACAAAGCTGGGACTGTGATGAGTCTTCAGAAGGTGATCACAGCAGTCTACCAAGTCATCTGACCCTGAATCACAGGGTACATGATAAGATCCCTGAATTCTGTGGGTATGAGTCCACTGCTGCATTTCCTTTGTTGTAAAGTGTATCTTCAGTCAGATGTGATGATATGTGAGATAACACGTAGATTGATAAGGCATTCTAGAAGTGGTAGAATTGCTGTGGCCGAGGATGATCTCTACCAGGATTATGTCTGTTCCTATGAGGATAGAGCATTGTCCCTCCATAATGGGAGGAGTCTAGTGTAATTCATCTGCTCCTATGTAGGTCCCAGAGAATGTGTCACCGCGGGATTCAGCATAAACCTCTGCAGTTGGGCAATCTGCAGAGGCAGAAGCCTCACGTTTTTTTGAGCTCATGTAGAGTCCCAACCCCTGCACCGTGGACACTGTAATGCTTGCCCCTTGAGCAAGCATTGGGGTGGCCAAGGAGAGAGGTTAAATGACATCTCTAGGATGGATCATTGTATCCAGGTCTCAGATTATTGAGAATTGAGAGCTCCCCAGCACAGAGAACCCGGTAGTGGAGATCTAGGGGCAAATGGAAGATATCTAGCACTCTATTGGTAGATTTCCTTTCCAAGAAGTTTCTGCATCACAGATTCTAGACACAGAGATGACAATGCCAGAAAAAAGGATGCCTATGGCTTATGCTCTGTGCTTATTCAGCAAAGTTGAGAAGGGCTGGTTTCCTGATTTTTACTGAGTTGATGTCTCATTGAGGCCCAAGACTCCAGTACTTAAGGTACCAATTTCCCCTTCTCGTTTCAGGCAGGCAGAATTCATTACCAAACTCACAGTGGCTCAAATGAGAACCTAAGTTTTGAAGTGAATGAGAGTCCTTACGCACCATGGCACCTCACTTAGCCTTATACAGTTATTGATGGGAGTGCTGTCTTTGACAGTTGAGCCCAAATGGGGCTCTAGTGCAGAGGGGTGTCAGAGAGAAGTTGAATACAGGTGGAAACTACCAGTCATTCCTGAACAGAGGACTTTAACAGCTATAGAAACAAAGGTTGATTCACAGAGAAACTGCCTTTGCTGACCTTATATCTGACCTCTCAGGAACCCATGGAGCTGCATCTTCTGCAAGATAAAGGTTCTTCAGGAAAGGTGCCCAGAAAGCCAACCATGTCATCAGGAATCTGAGGTCCTGAAGAGGCTGATGCTGCCTAAAGAGAAGTTGGTGAGTTGAAATGTAAACCTAAGCCTCCTCCTTTCTGTTTACACAAGAGCAGAAGCACCATCTTGCAGGGGGCAGGAGGAATGGTGCCCAAGGCAAACTGCTGTCGCTTGCTGTGCTCTGATCACATTACCTGACACCAAAATTCATATGCCACAGAAAATTGTTTGTTTCAGGCGTCTGCAAGTTGGAGAGTTGTGCATTTATCTGAGCATATGTAAGAGCTCATTCTTTCCAAGCTGCTCTTCACTTAAAATCTCCTCTATCTTTTGCAGAAGTGTGAGTTCCTCCTCTTAAAGGTCTATTGCTCTCCAAAAAGCTCTTTTTTTGCCTCAGAACCATATTATGTAAGTAATAGCAATAAAACCCCAACCTGGCATTTGGTGAATTTGTGATATGAATCCAATGGGTACACATTGCCATTATCTTTGCCTGGTTGATAAATATCTTAGACAGCTCAATCAGCCCTTAGAAGCTTAGGCGGTTGTAACAAACTACCATAGACTGGGTGGCTTAAACAACAGGAATTTATTTCTCACAGTTCTGGAGGCTGGAAATCTGAGATCAGGGTGCCAACACAGTCAGGTCCTAATGAGGGCTTTCTTCCAGGTGGCAGTCAGCCAACTTCTCTTTTTGTCCTCACATGGTGGAAAGGGAGGGAGAGAGGTCTCTGGTGTCCTTTTATTATAAGGGTGCTAATCCTATTCATGAGGGCTCCACCCTCATGACCTAATTATCTTCCAATTGTCCCACCTAAGACCATCACAGTGGGGGTGAGGATTTTAGCATTTGAATTTGGGGGACACAAGCACTCAGTCCATAACTGTGGGAATCTGTAAAAGGTAGACTTGGAACCATGCTAATGCCCTTTGGCACTTTTGTCAACATAATACAAAGACATCTCAAGGCCTGGAGAAGCCCATGCAGTTAAACAAAATCAAGAAAAATCTGACGATGAACATATATCACCGAGTACAGGAGTTTGTGCGGGACATGCGTCTCATCTTCCAGAACTACAGGGCGTTTTGCAAGGTAAACAGTTCTCCCTGCTTCTATTTTTCTTTCAATTAAGTCATTTTGCCTTTCATCTTCTTGTATCAGGTCGATGTTACAATTTCCCTCATCATGTGGCAAGCCCACGCAGGTAAAAATTCTGGTAGTATTCTCCAAGCCCTGTGGACTATGGTATGGAAGATAATAACAGACCAGAGGTATCATTGGAAACATTACCCTAGGACCTCAGAATTTACTCCTTCTAGATACTCAATTTGCCCATAGATAACAGTGGATCGCAGACCTAGTCCTTTCCACCGGAAATGGAAGTGCTTTTTATTTTTTTACTAGACCTGGCAGCACTGTGTGTGGCTCAGAAGTCCCTGCAATTGGCCCAGGCTCAGATCCTTACTTGGCCCAGACTTGGGGACCATCCTAGGGAGACTGGATGCTGAGGCACAGAGTATGTCCATGTGCAGTTTGTTGCTGTGTAACTGCCCTCCGGCATCTGGGCCCTCAGGAAGGAGTGGACAGGGAGCTCCCCACACCTGGGCATCTGCCTATTTCCAGCAGTTCCAGTACTGCACTCTGGATGCAGAGCATGGAAAGTTTCTTATAGGCAGAGCCCTCATGGCCTTGGTGCTCGTAGAGAAGTGAGGCCAATTCTCTTATCTGCTAGAAGCACATTTTAAAGGCTACTCGTGTTTCTCATCTCTAAAGGAAGATACCAAACCACATTTCTCAAATTTCAAAATCTTGGATTTCTTTACATTAGAATTTCCTAGTGTTGTACCAAAAAGTTAACAAGGATCACCTCAAGGGGTGCGGAATGAAGGATAAAGGAAGGCACCACGAACTTGCCTTAGACATTTCTGTACTATTATGGTGTCATAAGGAATATGGGCTGTGTTCAAAATCAAATAACTAGAATTTTTTAAATTAATCAATAAATTTCTGATGAATTAGACTGCAGTATAGTGCCGTTTTTGCTCCTCTGTCCTCCAGATAAAGAGAAATGATCCAGCTATCAGGAAACATAAACTATCCTCAACTGGATTAATTCTCACTTAACATTTGGGATAGTCTAAAATAAAACTCTGATTAACCAAAACATTGAGAGTCTAAGCTCACTAGCAATCTATGCCTACTATTATTTTTGTCTTTGCTTTTTCAGAACAAGAAATTCATCAATCTGGGACTTCAACTAGAAGCCGAATTTGAGAGTGATTTCAAAAACGTTTTTGGCATCCAGGAAATAAGTACAAACAGCAATCGGTTTGAGCCGATCTTTTATAATGTAGCCCGTTTCTAGTTCCCTGTTCAGAGTCTCCACTGCTACATGATATTGTGCCTGTGGCCCCACTGACCAACTGCCTGTTGCTGTGTGAATAACACACTTCTTTTTCAAACTTTTTTTTTTACTGACATTCCTG